CAGCTTCAGTCAGTTCAGTTTAGGTTCCGATTTAGTGTGTAAAGTAACTCAATAACCGTGTAAAGTTGATCAATTATGAAGCAAGTTCAATTCAGCTGTAAGCAGCTCTACCGAAAACTGTAATGTCATTATTCAGCCTGAGTCAGTTCACAGTTTGATTCAAACTGATGTTGTGTGTTTCAGGGTCTTCTGATCGAATCTTTGGGAAGAAGAGCTCTGATTATTGGTGGATACTCTCTCATGAGTGTGTGCTGTATCTGTTTCACCATCGCCCTCACTTTTCAGGTCTAGTGACCTAATACCTGCTGGTTTTTTTTCTCTCAATATATTTATTTTGTGCACTGTAGCAATATTTCATTATGTTGCTAGCACAAACTATTAGAATCATACTTATGGGGTTATGATGAAAAATGGCATAAAGTTTGTGATCTCAGTTTTCAAATATTTGAATGTATGCAGATTTACTGATGTTTGTTTGGTGTTTTTTCCTTACAGGAGTCCAGCCCTTGGGTTCCCTACCTTAGTATGATCTGTGTTTTTGCCTTCATTCTCAGTTTTGGCCTTGGACCAGGTGAATGAATGAGTAAAAAAAAGAAAGCAAAGAAGGAAAATTACATGAATATGAATGTTTGAAGTGAAGTGAAGAAAAAAATGAAGATTTGTTGAAAATGTTCTTACACTCAGGCCAGCCAAAATGAGTTTGTTTCTTCATTGGAACAGAGTTGGAGAAATGTAGCATTACATCACTTGCTCACCAATGAATCCTCTGCAGTGAATGGGTCAGAATTAGAGACCAAATGCTCCGGTTATGGTGTCTGAGGAGTAGACGTGTGCACAGTTCGCTCCCAAAAACTTCTAATTTTTGTCTTATAAACTTCAGTGCTTTTGTTGGCATCTGACAGTATTTGTTTATCGACTATTTTGTGACTTCAATCAGTTTTGAAGCGTCAAAGGAAGGGGCAAACTGGTCGATAAAAACCGTGCAGGTGCAAGCATTACGCTAGCCAAGATCACGATCTTAAGCCTCGTTCAGACTGTCAGCCCAAATCCAATTTTTGTGCAAATCCGATTGAAATCCAATCATATTTAGATAGTCTGAACGGCAATGAACTACATCCCAGATGGCACATATACATCTGCAAGAAATATTTTTTTGTGTGTTTGCTCAGCTATAGGACGTTTCCTATCAGATGTCAAATAGACGTTTAGAAGATGTCTTTAAGATGTTTATGATTTAGAGTGTATGTAAAACTGACATCTTAAAGGCATCTATCAGATGTTTGTACACAGCAGATGCTTTCCAGATTAAGCAATCTTTAACAGACATCTTGCAGACGTACGTGTGCTATCTGGATGTGGACAGTCATTCATTTAGATTGGATTCCAATCAGATATGAACAAAAATCGGATTTGGACTGAGAGTCTGAACAAGGCTTTAGAGCCTTAATCACCACAGACTTCAAAGCATCTTTGGAACGTTTTGGCAGCCAAGCTAGATAACATTCAATTCACGGTGTCTGATCATGATCTTCGCATCAGTAATCTCGAGTCCAGCACTACAGAGATTAGTCAGGAGTTTGAACAACTCAAAGCTACATGTCCGAGGCTCCAGAAGGCTAATGAGTGGCTTAAGGCTAAAGTCTCAAATCTTGAGAGCCACAACCATAGAATTCTGGGCTTACCCGAGTCAATCCAAAGTCCCTTCAAGGCAAGTCATTTCACTCGGCGGCCATCTTTGAAACGCCTCTCTGGCATGCAAGTGCAGCTACTATCTCTTTGAATGGGGAAAGATCAAATTTACTTAATATACAATGGCCCCAATGAAATATTCAAAAAATATCATTGTAAAAAATAGTCTTAAAATCTGGACCTAATTTTTGCAGTATTTTGGTCTTCATAATACCCCTTTATTATCCCCAATACACTCCAATCTTTTTCCATCTTGGACAGTGCTTATGCCTTATGGAGAGACCTTGGATTGGTTTCTATTGGTGACCTTTACATCAATGGTGTTTTTGCCTCTTTTGATCATTTGACCTCTCAGTTTAATATGACCAAAAGCCATTTTTTTCAGATATTTACAAACTCGAGATTTTGTGGGTAAAAAATGGTCAGCTGGACACCAAACTGGGTGTGGATCCTTGTGCTAAAGGGTCAATTTCTAAATTAGTAAATATAATTTTCTCTGATAACCTACGCATTGTCTGGTCCCAAGATATTAGTGCCGTCATTAACGACGAGACATGGAAAGAGGTCTTGAACAGGGTTAACTCCTCTTTTCTCTGCACACGTCACAGACTCATAACAGAGCAAGGTGGTACATAGAGCCCACTGGTCTAAGAGCAGGCTAGCTCACATTAACCCCTCTATAGACCCTGAGTGTGACAGGTGTCATTGTGGTTCAGCTACTTTAATCCATATGTTCTGGTCCTGTCCTGCCCTGTCTTCTTTTTGGAGATTAATATTTTGTCTCATTTTCAGCCATTACCTTTGTCGATATTCCACCTTGTCCAATTACTGGTTTATTTGGGGTTCTCCCACCTGGCCACTCTTTGCCTTCTCCTTTCTCAGACTTTGTAGCCTTTTTAACCCTTTTGGCTTGGTGTTTAATTCTCCTGAACTGGAAGAGCCTTCACCATCCGTCTCACACCCGCTGGGTAAGAGATGTTCTTTACTTTAAGAAAGTAGAGAAAATTAGGTGCTCTCTTCAGTGTCCTAGCACTATTTTGACCACAATTTGGCAACCCCTTTGTGAACATGTCCAAACTCTCCAGCTTGACACTGTTCTTTGTGATTGAGTCCCCCCCTCAGCCCCCACCCCCAATTTCCAGCAGCTTACAGCAAGACGTTAATTGATGGACTGGAGTCTTGCGGATTTCTTGTAGATTATTGTGATGCTTTTATCAACTGTTTGGACTCTCATTCTGACGGTACCCATTCACTGCAGAGGATACATTGGTGAGCATGTGATGTAATGCTAAATTTCTCCTAATATGTTCTGATGAAGAAACACATTTTTGGAAGCCCTGAGGGTGAGTAAATTTTCAGCAAATGTTCTTTTTTTAGTGAACTATTCCTTTAATAAAATAACTTCTCTCTCTCCACACTTGTATTGTTAGGCTATATTATGATGGTAGCCTACACACTAGTTTGATCAGTAATATCAATGTGCTTTGTGCTGTAGGTGGTGTAACAAACATTTTAACAACAGAGCTGTTTACCCAAACCGATCGGCCTGCTGCGTACATGATCGGTGGCTCTATCAACTGGATCGCTTTCTTCTTCATTGGCATGATCTTTCCATTTATTGTGGTATATATGAGCACCTTCTTTCCTTTTACCCACATACATATGGTTATTTTCACAAAGCAGTTGCATTTCTCCTAGATACAGGACCTTATTTACCTTGCAGATTATGTAAAAACAATCAAATGATGATATTTGTTAATTACTTTTTGATGAGGATTATTAAAAACAAAGTGGAATTTAAATGTTTTGTTTTTAACAAACTTTTCTTTCTCAATCTCTTTCAGAATGGACTAAAGCAGTACTGCTTCCTTGTTTTCCTCGTTATATGTTGCTTGGTGGCCACTTACATCTTCTTTGTGGTCCCTGAAACCAAGAACAAGACCTTTCTGGAGATTCAGAGAGAGTTTCGCTCTAGAAAGAAGCTCATTGCTGCCAATGGTACTGAGGGCCCTCTACTGTCCACACCAATGTAACGCACACACACACAATACACAAAGCACTGTATTATAAAGGTTTTATAATATCTGTGTATGTATGAATGTGCCAGAATACTTAGAAATGTTAAACCAGAAAATATCTTTATGACACAGACACTATACTATACATCATGTGTCTTCAAAATGAATACTGCCTTTTACATCAAGGAAAATCACATGATGGTAGGGACTTTCAATAGTATTACATCTTGGATGTGTTTTATACAAATCAATATCGTTAAACTACTATGCAGAACTACTACAAAGTATAATTAGAATAAGTGTACAAGATACTGGTTTCTGTAATTACTTTTTATTTCTAATTCTGTAAAATGTATCCAAGAAATATCTCATGAAATCACGGAATGAATCATGCTTACATTTATTTTAATGTCAACAACACATTTTTTTTGCAATAAAGGAATCTTTCACAATCAGGTATTTTTTATTCTTAACATTCTCAAAGTTTGCAGATACTTTACAAGCACTAAAACCCACTGCTTGAATCAAGCACTTCATTTTAAAGCCAACAAACATTTGGAGAAAATTATGACAATATTTTTTTTTTCACAGTGCATAAAAGTAGTAGGCTTTCACGGTTCTTTTCACAGCATCTTTTGCACTTAACATACTTTAAAGTTTTTTTTAATAACGATTCATTTAAGTTCCACAGTGTCATTAATCAGACAAATGATTACGCAGTAGGCTACTATTCAGAGCGCAGCCGCGTTTTCACGTGATATGTGTTGTTTTTCTCAACGCTGATACGGCTCGACCAATCACTGTCGTTTAGAATTACGTGATTTTTTTTCTCCCAAAATATTTAATCTTATAGAGATTACAGAAGCGCGATACCTATTGTTTTTCAGTTATAGCTTTTAAGTTTTAGTAGAGAGAGAGCGAGAGAGAGGGGGTCACATCACAAACACATACCAGCTTCATCACTGTGTCTGTCACACGACTCTGTTCCCCTTTCGGGCTCTGTCTTTACATTTATTTTGAAAGATGAAGCTTGCGATTATGGTAAGGGGCGTTACATTTCCGATGAGTGCTTGCGGTGTTCGGCCAATCACAATGCACTGGGTCAGCTGGCCAATCAGAGCAGACTGCGCTTGTCGGAAGGAGGGACTTTGTAGAAAACGAAGCGTTTGAGAGAGGCGGGGCATATAGGACCTACAATAGTGTACAGTATTTGAAAAATAATGTGGTTTTTGAACATTGAAGCATGTCAACATATTCTGTTACACCAAATAATGATCTTTAAAGAAACATCATATGACCCCTTTAACTGTTCTTGGTGACAGTGATGCCATACTGAAGTATCTGGCAACAACCTACAATGTCCCTGATCACTGGTACCCCAAACTGCCAGAGAAGAGAGCCCGAGTGGATGAGTACATGGCCTGGCATCATGTGAACACACGTATGCACGCTTCCACAGTCTTCTTGCAAGAGGTAGGGTTTGAAATGTGGCTAGCTGACATGACATTTCCAGCAGTGATTTTATTCTTCATCTAATACTAGTTTGTTGATCTATTTTGACTTGTATTCCTGTACAGGTTATATTTCCAAGGATGGGACAGCCGACAAATCCTGCAAAGTTTGAAAAGTCGCTGGCAGACCTGGATGGCACACTGGACATGCTGGAAAACATGTTTCTGAAGAGACAGCCCTTCCTGTGCGGTGACGACATCTCATTGGCTGACCTGTTAGCAGTTTGTGAGCTCATGCAGGTAAGAACTCCGAGCCACTAAACATACTGTGAGGTTGATTGCATTTAGAGGCTGTTATGCGCTATTCATTTAGACTACTTGTGCACAATTCTGCATGCAAAAACATAAATAGACACATGAGTCTATATGAGTCCATTTGATTGTCTCTTTCAGCCCCTGTGTAGTGGGAGGGACATTCTGAAGGACAGACCCAAACTGCTGAGCTGGAGGAGTCGAGTCCAGTCAGCGCTCTCAGACTCCTTTGATGAAGCACACTCTGTTGTCTATCAAATAAGGGAGAAGTTCACAGCTAAACTGTGAAAAATCAACTCTTTATTCACAGCAGTTAATTCTATAAGATTATATGTCACAAATGAAAGATGCATCTGTTTAACATGGATATGCAGTTTGTTCAATATCATGTTTGATTAATATATGGTTTGAAAAGAGGCTTATATCCACAAGTTTAGTGAACTTTTTTTGTGCCCATAGTTTGTGCCGAAGGAGCAGAAAATGTAAAAACATTTTATTGTTGACAGGAATTGGTAAAAGAATACTATTTACAAGAGTGAAAGTGTGTGAACGTCAAGACCCAGGTTTGCTCTTGAATGAGGGTTTTCCTTCTCACACTTGTGCCTTACCTTTCTGTGATGATAAATGTCCAATTAAAACAGTTTCAGTAAATAATATGCAACTTCATGTTGCATATCACATTCACACAACACAAACATCCTTCTAACAAATGTTGTAATTTTTTTAAATTCTAGACAGTGACTTTTGAAAGCAAATATTTGAAATAATTTTCCACGAAGAGAGTGTAACCTCTGCTTTCTAAGAAAATAATAAACAAATGACAATTTTTGCAAAATTAAAATTTTTGACATATCAATAAAAGTTGATTGACTGATTTAGTGTTTCTTCAACAAAGTAGCATAGATTTTTAATAACAGACCTTGATCAGCTATCAGCCACAACATGAAAAATAGTTATTTGTATTTCTCAGAATTTCAAGTTTCTTGTTACCCTCATTGGAGGACAAAGGATTTGTTCACACTGAGAGGTAAAGTTAAAGTTTGCTAGAGAGTATATGAAAGTCAGGAAATATAATGTTGAGGCCGCGAGGGATCATTTCTAGGCATTTCATTTAATCAGATTTCATTTATTATCTGTATTTGCTTTTTTTTTTTTTTTTTTACAAATACAAGTCTGGGGTTTCACCAAAAATGTCTACTTTGAAATGTAATGGAGAACATACATTTATGTTACTTTTAAAGGGGTCATATGATGCTGCTAAAAATAACATTATTTTGTGTATTTGGTGTAATGCAATGTGTTTATGCGGTTTAAGGTTAAAAAAACACATTATTTTCCACATACTGTACATTATTGTTTCTCTTCTATGCCCCGCCTTTCTGAAACGCATCGATTTTTACAAAGCTCATCAGTCTGAAAAGCGAGGTGTGTTCTGATTGGCCAGCTATCCAGTGTGTTGTGATTGGTCGAATACCTCAAGCGTGTGATGGAAATGTTACGTCCCTTACCATATTGTGATGATGCCCTGTCCCGGCCGGAGCGACGAGACAAAAACATTAAAACCCATTATAAACGAGGCATTTGTTGCATCCAGTGGGGACATAATTACGGATTATAATGACTTATACTGTCTTTTTATGCGTTGCTTTGCATTGTGCGCCGAGTAAACATAAAACCATGTCTGCATTTGTGATCGGAGAAATGACAAACAACAAGTGCTACTCTGCACTGCTCAAAACTCGCGTTTGAATCGTCAGTGGCAAATTCTTTAAATATAAAAACCGTACTTACAGTCTGTGAGTCATAACAGCCGGCATTGTGGTCTACCAGGATCAGTAAACAGTCCTCCATAAAATGCCCGGGCTGGACTCCGCTTCATCCACGGTGAAAGACGATCCTGCGATTCACAGCGCAAAGTTGATGTATTTCCTCAGCGACCAGCACGGATCAGCTCTAGGCATGACGAAGCAGATATCGTCCTCTTTTGGAAGACCAAACAAAGTAGTTTCGCTTTCACAACGAAGCACACAGCGCCTTCACGACATGGCGGCGGCGGCAACAACAATACTACAGCGAGAATAAAAGTTACGCCTTCTTTCTTTGCGTGAACATTTGGGCGGCGTTATGCAAATCTTCCCACATCGTGATGTAGACATGTGGGGGCGTGTTAGAACGAGCCATTTTAGGTAGGCGTGGTTGACTCTTAACTTTTATAAAGAATATCTCTTTGGATTTGAGACTTTAGTCTTTGCAACTTTACAGATCTTCTTTATGCACCAAGAGCTTGTAACACTCCAAAGAGAAAGGAAAACTTGAAATCGCATCATATGACCCCTTTAAGATAGGAACAGTTTAACAGCTGGAAAAAAAAGACACATTATTATTTGTTATATTTAAACCACATACATTCAACACCAAACAGGCAAACCATGAGGTTCTCTGGAACCCTTCCCCTGAAAGGACAGAACAGACCTCTGGTTACCAGGTAACTAGATAAACTTTACAACCCCAAAAGAAGAAGAGAGCCTCCCTCTTAACTGCACATAGAAAAGGACTTTCTTTCATTAATTCAAACCTTTCTATGACTGGACTCGACTCCTCCAGCTCAGCAGTTTGGGTCTGTCCTTCAGAATGTCCCTCCCACCACACGGGCTGAAAGAGACGATCAAACGACATCAAAGATGCAAAGCCTTATAGGCTCATGTGTCTATTTATGTTTTTACATGCACAATTGTGGATGAATATTCAATTTCGTCCCAATGAATGATGCATAACGGCCTCTAAATACAATAAACTTCACAGTATGTTTAGCGGCTCTGAGTTCTTACCTGCATGAGCTCACAAACTGCTAACAGGTCAGCCAATGAGATGTCGTCACCTCACAGGAAGGGCTGGTTCCATAGATTCTCTATGGGGTTCAGGTCTGGTGAGTTTGCTGGCCAGTCAAGCACACCAACACCATGGTCATTTAACCAACTTTTGGGGCTTTTGGCAGTGTGGGCAGGTGCCAAATCCTCCAAATAAACACACAGTGTTACAATAATCGCAATAAACAGTGAACATTCAGGTATGCTTCGTTTTACTGGCCTAAGGATTTTAATAAATAAATAACATTGAGAAAGCTAAATTAAACCTGGGAAAAACACAGAAAACTTTTACTCTCTAGTTATGCTTGGAGACTTCAACATCCACCTAGATAAACCTCAGGCTGCAGACTTCCACACTCTGCTTGCCTCTTTTGATCTCAAGCGAGTGTTAACTGTGGCTACTCACAAATCAGGCAACCAACTGGACCTTATTTACACACGACACTGCTCCACTGCACACCTCGGATCACTTCCTCCTCACTCTTAACCTCAACATGGTTCCTGACACAACACATACCCCTACACATGTCACTTTTCGACGTAACCTACACTCACTCTCACCCTCCTGGCTATCTGCAATGGTTCCATCTTCGCTTCCTCCCCCTGAACAGTTATCATCTCTTGATGTTAACAGTGCTACTGATACTTTCTGCTCCACTCTTATGTCTTGTTTAGACAGTGTCTGCCGCTTGTCTTCCAGGCCAGCTCGTACCACCTCTTTTGCCCCTTGGCTATCTGATGTTCTCCATGAGCATTGTTCTAAGCTCAGAGCTGCAGAAAGAGTATGGTGCAAATCACAAAATCCTACTGACCTTAATGTATATCGATCACTCCTCTCTTCATTCTCTGCTAATGTCTCCACTGCTAAAAGGACATACTATCACAACAAAATTAACAATTCGCCTAACTTTTGCATGCTCTTTAAAACATTTTCCTCCCTCCTTTGTCCTCCTCCTCATCCTCCTTCATCAACTCTTAACAGCTGACGACTTTGCCACATTCTTCATTAATAAAATTACAAACCTCAGTGCACAATCTGCACACCACAAACTGTCAAACACATCTTATCAGCAAACATACACTTTTCAGCCTTCTCTCCACTCTCTGAGGCAGAAGTCTCTAAACTCATCCTTTCCAATCATCCTACTACTTGTCCGCTTGATCCTATTCCATCTTATCT